CATGATTGTAGAATCGGACGATTCTACATGCTAGCACCCTTGATTATAGTCTCAAGTACTTTTGAATATAAGTAAATAAAGTCACAAAAACATTTTATCACCATAATACATATGAAGCTTACAATGCTCATGCTCAAACTAGTCACAACACACCCATCATCTATTTTAACATCTTCATTTTACATTTATCCACACTCATAAATACACATCCATAACTTGTGGGAAAGAAAACAATTTAAGACACATTCATACAAATGTTCCAACACAATTCCCCTTATTCAACTAATACCGTACAAAGCATTCATACACAAAAACATTTCATACATTTAAGAGAAAATCATTATTAGTTCATCATAGGAAACCACCAAGAGCTAGCTTAGAATTTATCACATTCATGTTTAGTTAGGTCACGTATGGATGGTCATTCTCTATAGTGAGTGCTCATTCGCCTTTAATTTTCATTCTAGTTTTGTACTTGAAATTTGAGTCAAAGGCTGCAAATTCATTTTCATTTGTTGTTTGAGCTTGCTCCTTTTTCTTATGTCTTAAAGGACATAGGGCTATAACTCTTGCTTGAATTTTCCTTATTGGGCCTTATTTTTTTTGGTCTAACTCTTAGACCAGACATAGGGATGAAAAAAAAACTATACTTATAAATAAGTATGAGTAAAACTCACTAATAATTGGAAATGAAAAGTTAAATAGTTACCCATTCATTAATAGGGAGTGACATATAGTAAAGTGCCCACACCGTAGGTTTTTTGCACTTTGATTTCACTAAAAATACTTCTAATTATATATAAAGTAAATTATTCAATATTATTTTTAATATAAATATATTTCATAATTATTTAATTTTAGTATAAAATTATGTTACAAAGTTATTTTTAATATAAATATATTTTAAAAAATTTATTTATTTTTAACTTTAATTTATTTAAAATTTTAATATTTTAACAAATATCATCGAATATTTTTGGATGCTTAAAGATATATATAACTTATGAATATTTATTAAATAAATACGTGCACTAAATGTAACAGGTAATAAAGAAGATGGGAAATAACTCTAACATCTGGAAAGAGGTTATTAAAGTTTGGATTAGACAAAAGGAGAGATTAGGGAATGAAATTAAAAGAAAGAAACTTTGTTATGGCTTAACAGTGGATCCCAACAGTAGGCCTTTTAAAAAGCCACACAACAAGACAACTTTCAGAGGAGGATTCTATGTGTTCGGTTATTGACTTAATTAATCATAAAAATACCAAAATATTTGAGTGTACCGGCATGCTGCTAGACCCAAACTGACACCTCAATCCCTGGCCACAAGTGTTTCCTTGGATCATCGCAATGGGCCACAAGATCATTTAAACATTAATAATATGTTAAAATTATAATTTAGACATTTCTGATATATGATATTATCACCGTCACGTTATTTTCATTATGTTGGTAGCGTACATGACAGAAAATTGACTAAATTATCAAATGACTTTGGCATTGCTTAACTCGGTGGATTCTATCGTGGTGACACGGTCTATGCACCGCGATAAAACAGAAGGGGTTTCTTACTTCTAACTAACTTGCACTCAAGCCATGAATTTCCAGGTGTGCTTAATGCATGTCATTGGCAACTATGCCATGGTTTAGCTACTTGCGTTGTTAATAGTGTTGATCGTGAAAGCTGTTCAAACTTGAGCAAAGTCAATCATTGCTGTAATCTTTTTAATGCAGTAGCAAGAGTAAAGATCATATGCTTATTCTCCTGTTTCTATTTGGGTTGGAAAATGGAGCGTCTGGAAAAGCTCTTAAACATAATATTGCCATATGGCTACTAGCTAGTTTGTGCCTAATTATAAGTGTCGTATTATATGCCATCAATGGTTTCCAGTCCTAAAAAGAAAAGCATCTGGTAACAAGATATTGATATTCTTCTGAAGCCATAGCAATCATCTCCAACTTTGGACATCTCCCAATTATCGGTATAATTAAGTGGTTTACCCACTCTACTCAACCTTATTGGTGATCATATGTTATGTTAATATTCATTTAATTGATGTTGTCTTGTTATTTAAACGATATAACGAGACAAGAAAAATATCCTATCAAGAAGTATCAAATGTCCACCAAGTTAAGCAATGCCAAAGTCATTTGATAATTTAGTCAATTTTCTGTCATGTACGCTACCAACATAATGAAAATAACGTGACGGTGATAATATCATATATCAGAAATGCCTCACAACGCAATAAACGTGTGTATTAGTTGTCGGTGTAATAATGGTAATTGGTAAGGCTTCGATGAAAAGTTATCTTCGAGAAGGGAATAATGAATAATAAAATTGGTCTGCACAGCCAGTGAACCGATTGCCCACGTGGCACGTACTCAATTAATCATGTTTTTTTTATCGGTCAAATAAAATATATTAATGGGTACAGTAAGCAATATACAAAATGTATATAGGATACTCAATTAATCATGTGCCATCTGAATTATGAACTCGTACAGTAAAATAAAAGTAGCATGTGGAAAGAAATCACATGTCCCCAGAATTGGATAGGGGCGTAGGATTTTCATGGATATCTCACAGGATAAGGGAACAGGAGTTTACAACTTACTAATTGTTAATGATAATTCTTACCAGTCTGTATTTTATTTTAGAGAAATAGAATAAAATAATGTTAAAAGATACATTCAATTGTAATTTATTTCATCTTATAAAATTTTTAACTATTTAAATTTTTTTGTTCATTTTACACTTATCTTATATACGAACAATTCTCCTTAGGCTTATTCATTATTTTTTTTTCCTCAATATTTTTCAAAACCTTGAGAGTAAGGTTCTCATTTAACCGGATGACAATGAGAAAATGATTCTAGAGTGATCCAAAAGAAATAAATTCAATTAAAAATTTAAATTCGTCCTATTAATTTTCTAATCTTTTGAGGTCTCTCTAGGCCATTCTATAAAAAAAAAATTTTAAAAAAATCAGAATGTGGGTAGAAATTCAGGTTTTAGGCCAATTTTTTATTCAAATTTTATTTTAATATAATTTACCAAAAAATAATAATAATAATCCATTTGGTCCCTAATATACTAAGGACACGTTTGATAGGAAGAAATTTTTTCCTACTCAAAAATTATAATTCCTGACAACTAAAATTCCTGAAAATCATGATTCTTGAAAATAGTTAAAATTTATTTAATTAATTATAAATATTCTTGAAAATATTTATACAAGATTCTCTGAAATTAAAGATTTTCATATTTGGTTACAATAGTATATTCTTGAGTGTATAAATATTTTTTTTATAAAAATATCCTTTATTAGAATAACTTCATTAGATTTATTTATTTACCCAAATCTTATTACAAATATTATGACATTAAATTATTTTAAAAAGTTGAGGACTTATAGTTAAAATTATTTAAATGCAAAGTTTAACAAAATAAATAAACAAAAAAATGTTACCTTATAATTAAAAAGGGTAAAAATATATTATTTCATTTCATTTAAAAAAAAGTGTTAACAAATATCATTATAAATTGTAGAAACAAGATAAACTTTAATAATATTATTAAAATTGACAAGGTTAAGAAATAATGAGATATAATAAAAAGAGAGAGAAAAATAAAGATATGGAGGGAGGGAGAGAGGGAAGAGGGAGGGGGGGAGTGAAAGACAACAAGAGAGAGAGAGAACAAGAAAGAGAGGAAGAAAAAGATTTAAAAAATAAATTTCAACTATATATATTTTCTGTTTTAAAAAGAAATATTGTGATCTCTTTATATATATACAATTTTCCTAAAGTTGGATTTCTAACCATCCATAAAAATACTTTGTGTGAAAGTAATATAAAAATAATTTTCAATAAATTATAACTCCTAGGATTTTTTAAAAAAAAATAACTACCAAACATAAAAAAAACAAAAATTTCCGATTTTAGATTCATAAAATAAAAATAAAAATATTTTGGATATTAAACATCCGGTGAAAGTATAGTTTATTCAAGTTACGCTTTACGTATTATTGTAAAAAAGAATGCATATATGTCATGGTCATATATTGAAATTATGTATTTCGATATATTGATTTTGGAAGATGAGATTATGGACTTCTACTCGTGCATGCATGACTCTTAGTTATCCCATCTATCTTCGGCAAATCGGACTTGACATAGTCGCACAAGTCATAAAAAAAATAGTGTGCAATGATGTCTTCAAAAAAAAAGACGTAAATGGCCATAAAAGGTACCTAAGATATGCTTATTGGCTTAGAGAATCCCAGAAGAGGTACGACACCAAGTTGTAGAGATCCGCTGCAGTTGGAGAATTTACGTATGTCAGTTTGACAAATCTCGACAAATGTAAAGTATTATTCTGATTGGTGAAAACGTCTACACCAAATACCAATGTAAAACATGTCTTCTCATTGCAATCCATGGAAGAACTTCTAAGAACACTATGTTCAATGGCATGGTGAGAAGACAACTTGAGTTTAACATGACATACAAAACAAAAGGTTCCTCCTCTAAAACGGGAAAAGAGCAAAGAAAATGCTTTATATAAGTTGTGTGTGTCCATATATTTGAGCAAAACATGACATACAATTTTTCTGTATGGGTAGGAGACCTTATCACAAGGCATACAATATCAGAGCATGAAGAATTTTTCCAACATGTTTCTTTTCTGATGGTTATAAATGGAAAACTTCATCTCCTTGAAGAGCTAGTGACCTTCGAACATGAAATATTTGAATACTCTATGTACTATTCGTATCGTGGAACCGAGCTTGAGCTCGACACTGAAGCGCTAAACGATATCGGACGAGCGCTACAAGACATCGGCCAAAACAAAGACCCATTATCTGAACGGATCATAACCGACCTCAGGTCCAAGGCCCAGATAAACTCTAATTCACACTAAGGTACGTGCATTACATATACGAGACTCATACACTCACAAAGACTAACTTTAACATCGGTATCTCTTTTGCAGGTATCACCCCCACTTCGAAACAGCCGACTTATTCAGCAAAGGAGACTCACCAATCTTGCCCAGCAGATCGTCCCTTACGACTGATCTCCAGTAATAACACTCTATATTAAAATATCTAATCTACAAAACGATACGTAAGCTAAAAATATTTTATTCAAAACTTTGTTTACAAAGTGTGTATCGAGTTTTCATTTGATATTTTCCTTATATTGGTGTGCATGTGTTATACACATATCGATAAAAAAAATGTGATAGCGATAAGCATAAATATTAACTATATTTTATTTTATTATAAATTGCTCAAATTAAAGCACAAAAATTGTGTAAAAAAGTTAAAGTTGCTTTATTTTTTTAAGGGATTGTATGAATTTAAGTCGTAATGATTTATGATGTTTGATTATTATAGCATATATAGCCTGAATATCAATGATAAGTAACAATACAATTGAAGTATTAGGATAAGATTCGGTTTAGTATACATAAAGTTTTAAATTCAAAAATTTTCATTATCATTTAAATTTTTATTTATAAAAATAGTACAATTCTTTTTAAAAAAAAATGTGTTAACGAAATAATATGTATAACATCTTAAATTTAAACTATATTATTGTCATTATAATTTTCTTATTAATAAAAAAATTAATACAATATAATGTGAGCAGGAATCACAGTATTTCATAAATAAATTTTGATAAAATTATTCTATTTAATAATTTCTCATATATATATATATATATATTATTTTTAAAAAGTATTAAAATAGTTTCAAATTTTACAAATTTAATCTATTTTATAAAAAAATATATATATACTTAACAATTTAAATATTAAATTTTATTGTAAACATAGTTACCAAAATGGTATTACAAAAATACTATTAAAATAACTTAATATCATCCTTATAAGTTTCTATAATAAATATTAATACCTGGCTCATTGTTATATCTTATACCAATAAGAGTAACGTTAATAGTACACTATTTAACACACTTTATTTTTTTATTAATTAAAATTTGTTAAAATTATAAATTTTGTAAAACTTGACTATAATTTTTTAATAAATTTTATTTAATATATATATATA